TTATGGTTTCATGGATTCTGATTTGTGATAGGAAAGATATCATTATGTTTAGGAGTGTTTTTAGATAGCCAAGCATGAGAAAAGATCAAGAAATCACTGCCTGAAAGGTGGTCTGCGACGCGGAGAAGTATTTAATTTTTTGGTCGCGAAATCAATTTTGAGGAAGAATGGTTCGTGACCGCTTCGTTCCGCGATGAGAAATTTTCAATTCTGAGGAACAGGTCCGCGACGCGGACTTGGTACCCAGATTCCGCTGACTTGTTCCTTCTTCATTTTCTAACCCCAATTCACATAAATTCGATTCTTCTTCTCAAATCCTCTTTAGATTCAGACACACAACAAATGTACCCAAGAACCTAACTTAAAAGAACTCTAAAATCAACCTTAAACTCTCAAGAATTCCTCAATATCATCCCAAATTCAAGAACGAAAGTAAATTCAAGAACACACATCAAGAACAATCAAACTTTCAAATTTTAGGACGAATTCACGCTGAAGTAAACATGTTTGGCGTGTTGGAGAATGAATCCAACGCTATGTGAACTCACATACCTCGTAGGGATCACCCCTTGACGAAATCCACAACCGATTCGTGAAGATCTTGATGATTCTTGCTTCTTTTCCTCCTTTCTCCTTTTCTTTTCTCTTTTCTCAAAACACCCTTACTATTTTTCCAAAAGCGTAAACTGACTAAGATCAGTCTAGACCCCAATTAATTACCCAAAAACGAAATAAAATATTTGGGTAAGGAAAAGACCAAAACACCCTTTAAAATCTGGATTGGACATTTCCTTATTTGAACAACCCAACTTCCAATGGGGGATATCCCACTCATACGAACTCAGAATCGCGCTTACTTTGTGGCATTAGAAAGATTATTCGAAGGTCTTTTCTACGATATCTGGAACCACACCTAACTCATCCGATCTAGAAGTTATGGTTGTTTGAAGTTGACCAAAAATTCAACTTTAACACACTTGACAAATTTCCAGATTTTTATATTCTTTCCAAAAATGACTATTTCCAATTTTAAACTTCTTTCTTGTTCTTTCTAGTTATGTGGTGTTACAATATATACCCCTTTGGAACATTCATCCTTGAATGAGTTTACTCATAGTAGGCTAAGTGTGTAACATCTAACATTCAACTCAAACACCCAACAAGAAATGCAAATACAACATGCTATCTCATAGGTTAAAAAGTACTAAGAAGAGAATTAGTACCTTGGTTTGGAATTTCCGGATTCGAAGAGATGTGGATATCTCTTCTTCATATCTTCCTCAGCTTCCTAAGTAGCTTTCTCAACAAATTGGTTCCTCCAAATGACTTTGACTGATGCTACTTCTTTAGTCCTCAACTTGCGAACTTGGCGATCTAGAATATGAATCGGAATCTCCTCATAAGATAAGCTATCCTTGATGCTAATATCTTCAGTTGGTATGATCAATGAAGGATCACTCATGCACTTCAATAACATGGAGATGTGAAAGACTGGATGAACTGCGGCTAACTCTTGTGGTAGCTTCAACTCATAGGCTATATTATCTACCCTTTTTTATATTCTGTAAGGGCCAATAACCGGGGACTAAGCTTCCCTTTCTTACCAAATCATAACACCATTCATGGGTGATACTTTATGATACATCGAATCATCTACTTCAAACTCTAACTCCCTTCTCCTAACATCAGTGTAGGATTTCTAACAACTCTGCACCGTTTTCAACCTCTCTTGAATCACTTTCACCTTTCAATAGCTTGATGAACTAAATCTAGTCCTATCAATCCTGCTTCTCCAACTTCAAACCATCCAATAGGAGATCTACATCTTCTCCCATGAAGAGCTTCATAAGGAGCCATTTGGATGCTAGAGTGGTAACTATTGTTGTAAGCAAACTCAATAAGAGGTAGGTGATCATCCCAATTACCCTTGAAATCAATCACACAAGCCCCCAACATATCATCTGAGGTCTGAATAGTGTGATCTTATTGACCATCTGTTTGACGATGAATAACAGTACTTAAGTTCACATTTGAACCCAAGCCTTTCGGGAATGACTTCCAAAACTGTGCAGTAAATTGTGCACCCCTATCTGATATAATCGAAAGAGGGACTCCATGATATCATTCCACCTCCTGAATATATAACATGGCATAATCCTCTGCTAAATGGGTAGTCTTTACCGGTAAAAGTGGCCTGATTTGGTCATTTGATCCACAATCACCCAAATAGAATCATGTTGCCTGCGAGACCTTGGCAAACCTGTGATGAAATCCATATTGATCATCTCCCACTTCTGTTCCGAAAGTTCTATATGCTGATCCATACCACCGGGCCTTTGGTGCTCTACTTTAACTTGTTGGCAATCCTCTTAGCAACAAACTATGCAATGCCCTTCTTCATACTACTCCACCAATAAACCTCTCTCAAATCGTGATACATCTTTGTGGAACCCGGATGAATGGAATATCTTGAGCTATGATCTTCTTCCATGATCCTCTATTGGAGTTCATCCACTCTAGGTACACACAATCTACCTTGATACCTCAACACACCATCTCCCCATTGTTCAAAAGCCATTACTTTTTGCTTATGAACATTTTCCTTCAATTCAAGCAAAATGGGATATTGGTATTACTTCTCTTTTACTTCTGACACTAATAATGATTCAACCTCATTCATCACCACCACTCCTCCTTTTATGGAATCCATTAATCGGACTCCCAATCGTGCAAGTTTATGCACATATTTCGCTAACTCTCTCTTTTATTCCTCATCATGGGTGGTACTAACCATAGACAACCTGCTTAAAGTATCAACAACAACATTAGCCTTACCTGGGTGGTAAAGAATACTCATGGCATAATCCTTGAGTAACTCTAACCACCTCATCTGTCTGATATTAACCTCTTTTTGAGTAAACACATACTAAAGGCTCTTGTGATCGGTGAACATATCTACATGCACACCTTACACATAATGACGCCATATCTTTAAAAAAAAAAATACGACAGCTAACTCTAAGTCATGGGTTGGGTAGTTCTTCTCATGAACATTTAACTGTCCGGAGGCATAAGTTATAACCTTGACATTTTGCATTAACACACAACCCAAACAAACTCTAGATGAGTCACAATACACCACAAAACCTTGTGTACATTCTGGTAAGGTCAAAAATTGGGGCAGTAGTTAACCTCTTTTTAAATTCCTGAAAGATTTTCTCACAAGCTTCAGTTTATTGAAACTTCACTATTTTCTGAGTTAACTTGGTTAAAAGGGATGAAATAGATGAGAACCCCTCTACGAACCTTCTATAATAGCCAGCAAAACCCAAGAAACTCTTAATATCAGTTGGAGATATAGGTCTAGGCCAATTCTGCACTGCTACTATTTTCTGAGTATGAACTTTATTTCCCTCTCCTGACACAATGTAGCCTAAGAATGCCACAGACTCAAGACAAAACTCACACTTAGAGAAGTTGGCATATAACTCCTTATCTTTTAAAGTCTGGAGAACTATTTTGAGATGACTAACATGATCTTCTTCATTCCTTGAATAAATTAGTATGTCATGAATGAAAACGATAACAAACATATCTAAATAAGGTTTGAAAACTCTATTCATAAGGTCTATGAATGTTGCAGATTCATTGGTCAAACCAAAGGACATGACTAAAAACTCATAATGACCATAACGGGTTCTGAAAGTTGTCTTTGGAATATCACATTCCCTTACTCTTAACTGATGGTAGCTAGATCTGAGATCTATCTTTGAGAAACAGGTGGCACCCTGAAGTTGATCGAAAAGATCATCAATCCTTGGGAGAGGATATTTGTTCTTGATGGTAACCTTGTTCAACTGACGATAATCTATACACATCCTAAGGGAACCATCCTTCTTCCTCACAAACAAGACCGGAGCTCCCTAAGGTGAGACATTTGGTTGAATAAAACCCTTATCATGGAGATCTTTCAATTGTTCTTTAATCTCTTTCAACTGTGATGATGCCATTCTATATGGAGGAATAGAGATAGGACGAGTATATGGAAAAATGTCTATATCGATGTCTATCTCCCTCTCAGGAGAGACTCTGGGAAGATCATCTGGAAAGACTTCTGGAAACTGTTTTACTACTGAAACTGACTGAATAAGAGGTATCTCATCACTAAAGTCATTAACTCGAATCAAGTGATAGATACACCCCTTAGAAACTAACTTCCTTGCCTAAGGTACGAAATTAAATGACCCTTAGGCACTGCTGAACTGCTTGTCCACTCTAAGACTGGCTCATTTGGAAACTTAAACTTGACACCTCGAGTTCTACAATCAATTGAGGCATAACATGCATGAAGCCAGTCCATACCAAGAATGACATCAATATCTACCGTGTCTAACTCAATTACATCAGCCATGGTACTCTTGTGATTGACTGAAATGGGACAATCACAATAGACTCTCTCTCTGCTAGAATGGACTCACCAACAGGTATAGAAACACTGAATGGTTCACTAAGTTGCTCAGGAATAACATCAAAATTCATAGCAAGATATGGAGTTACAAAAAATAAATTCGTTCCTAGGTCTAGAAAAACATAAACATTAGAGTCAAAGACTTGGATCATACCGGTGACAACATCTGGAAAATCCTATTGCTTTTGGCGACTGGTTATACCATATAGGCGGTTTGACCCTCCGCCAGTACCGGAAGTAGCCCCTTTAGGTGCAGCTCTGTCTAGTGGAGCAACTGAACAAGACTAGGCTCTATTACCATTACCCTGCTTGATCTTTGGACACTCTCGCATGAAATGCCCATTCTGGCCACACTTGAAACAACCAGTGGAGCCCTCACGACAAGTGCATGAGTGGTTCCTACTACACTTAGCGCAGACAGGAGACTTACTACCCCCTTGCGCTATACTACCGTGAGAATAGGCAGGCTTGGCTCTGAAATTCTGACTATTATACTCACTTTTGTTCTTAGGTGCAGATGCACTAGAAAATGATGGAGCAGGTCCCTTCTGCTTCTGTTAGGAGGATGATCGGTTGTCATTACTCTTCTACTATCTGGACTCGTTCCCTATCTTAGCTCTCTTGTTTCTGAATTACTCCCTATCCCTCAGCTTCTCTTCCTCAACCTGCTACACATAGACCATAAACCTTGATATATCCATGTCCCCAATTAGCATCGCTGCCTTGCCCTCTTTGCTTGATAGACGAGACAACCCAGCATAAAACTAACTCATTCTACTCCTGATATCTGCAACCATCTTCGGAGCATAACGGGATAGTTGGGTGAACTTCAGTCCATATTCATGAACACTTAGTGACTCCTTCTTGAGGGTAAGAAATTCCCATACCTTAGCCTCTTTCAGTTCTCGGGGGGAAGAAACTCCCCAAGAAGGCCTCCTCAAAACAAGCCCAACTCGCAGATGGTGCATCCTCAGCTTTAGCCTCCTTCCACTGATCAGACAGAGTCCTAGCAACATTCTTCAGTTGATGTGCAGCTAGTTCAACTCGCTCAGTATCGACAACATGAATAACCTAAAATACCTTCTTCAATTCATCAATAAAACTCTCCAGAACCTCAATAGTGCTTGATCTTGTGAAACTTGGAGGATTCATCCTCAAGAACTCTCGGATCCTCAAAGTATCAGTCACTTCTCCTCTTTGTTTCCCATCTTGTTTGGTCACAACTTGGCTCAGCATCCAGATAGCCTCACGGAACTCAGCATTGGTAACTTCTCCTTGGGGTTGCACGTTTGGTGCATTAGGTACCCCTTGTTCATGTGGTTCAACATTACACCTAGAAGGACGACCTCTAACAGCTCTTCGTGGGTGTATTATTATCTAAAAATATGCGCAAGCACGAATTAGAAGAAACTTCTTAGAGATCAAACTCTAACGCACAAAATGATTGTGAAAGAAGTGAGAAATTTTCCGAAATGTTGCAGGATTCTAATTATAGATGTGGCGCGCTTCACACCGATAACTAACACTCTACAGACACGGCTACATAGACTCCCTAGGACTTTTGAACTTTGTGCTCTGATACCAAGTTTGTCACGCCTCGAGCCTACACATTCGGTGAGACTAGCACTCGAGAACTATTGATGGTCCCGAGCGAACCTTTGGCCTGGCTTACTTACTCAGCGGAAGACTTAACTCATGAAGAAAAGTACTTTTAAAGTAAACTGAACTGCTCAATAAACACTTAGAATATATCAAGATAACATTCACTGGCCAAAAGTGGCAACTCAAGTCTCAACAATTAAAACAGGAAATAGAAACTTAATAAGTAACATATGACTGTCTATCAAGCCTCTAAACAACTGAGATAGATGTCGGGACAAGACTCACGACATCCTAATAAACTAATAATAAAATTGAAAGCAAAAAAAGGGATCCTGCGGAAGTAAGGAGGCTCACCACAAGACTCTGAATGCTTAACTGGATGAACGATGCGCTGGATGCCGATCCTAGTTACCTGTGTCTGCATCATAATAAGATGCAGGACAAATGACATTAGTACATTGAATGTACGAGTATGCGAGGGAGATTCTAAAACAAGCCATAATCTTGTAAAGAACTGAAGAACTTACCTAGCTCAACTCAACTCAACATAACTTAAGTCATTTCAATATAAAGCAGTTTAAAGACAAGTGCAAGCTGTTTAAAACATGATGTCAACTCTGTGTGTATTTAAAGATACACTATAACTCTGAAATGTATGTAAAAATAAAATAAACTATGTATATAAGAATACAATTACTTATGTGGGATTTTCTCTAATCGACAACCATCACGTAAGAGCTATTGTGACGATACAATGTTTCGCCTCACACTGCCAGGGCCCTCCTGTACCTTGCTGAGGGTATAAAACCTGAACTATTAAGTGGATCCACTAATCTATGCTAAAAAGTACTAAATAAATCATCTAAAAAGTATGACCCTTTCTACCTATGGTGGCTACATGGTTTATGGGGGCTATGAATTGTCTGAACTCACCCCCATATTGGTGCTCAATACTACTGCCAAAATATGCTAATAGCTCTTATGTTTAAAAACATACTTATTTCTGTGATTTGAGATAAGTGTGCTCAAAAACATAGCTCAAAGGCTATCTTGGAAATAAAAGTTTTCTCTCTTGCTTCATTTAGAAAACGATTACTCTTTTCTGAAAATTAACTCAAAGACTCTTTGGAAATCAAGGTTTCCTTTTTTGTTCAAATGTGAAAACATTTTACTCTTTGGGAATACATAGTCCCGATATACTCTTTTGAAGAAATGAACTTCAAACTTTACTCTTTACTCAACTCTAAACTCAAGTCTTAAAACAAAGTTATAACATTTTTAAAAGACTTTTGAAAGACTCTATGAACTTCTCTTGACCTGTCTCTTAAGACTTTACTCTTAACTTATCCTTGAATTTAATTATGGATTCAAAGATTGTGATTTTTGATAGGAAAGATCTCATGATGTTTAGGAGTGTTTTTAGATAGCTAAACATGAGAAAAGTTCAAGAAATCATTGCGTGAAAGCTGGTCCGCGATGCGGAGATGTAATTAAATTTTTGGTCGTGAAATCTATTTTGAGGAAGAATGGTCCATGACCACGACGCGACGTGAGGAGAAATTTTCAATTCTAAGGAACAGGTTGCGGACCTGGTACCCAGATTCTTCCAACTTGTTCCTTCTTCGTTTTCTAATCCCAATTCGCCAAAATTTGATTCTTCTTCCTAAATCCTCTTTAGATTCAGATACCCAACAAATGTACCCAAGAAGCTAACTCAAAACAACTCTAAAATCGACCTTAATCCCTTAAGAATTCCTCAATATCATCCCAAATTCTAGAACGAAAGTAAATTAAAGAACACACATCAAGAGCATTCAAACTTTCAATTTTTAAGAAGAATTCACACTGAATTAAACATGTTTGGCGCGTGGGTGAACGAAACCAACATTGTGTGAACTCACATACCTCTTAGGGATCATCCCTTCACGAAATCCACAAGCGATTCGTGAAGATCTTGACGATTCTTGCTGTTTTTCCTCCTTTCTCCTGACTAAGATCAGTCTAGATCCCAATTAGTTACCCTAAAACGAAATAAAATAATTGGGTAAGGAAAAGACCAAAACACCCTTCAAAAATCCGGATTGGACATTTCCTTTTCCGAACAGCCCAACTTCCAATGGGTATATCTCACTCATACGAACTCGGAATTTTTCATACTTGGCGGCGTTGGAAAGATTATTCCAAGGTCTTTCCTATGATATCTGGAACCACACCTAAATCATCCTGAGCTAGAAGTTATGGTCGTTTAAAGTTAACTAAAAATGCAACTTTAATACACTTGACAAATTTCCAGATTTTTATATTCTTTCCAGAAATGACTATTTCCAATTTTAAACTTCTTTCTAGTTCTTTCTAGTTACGAGGTGTTACAAGATTTTAACGAGACACATTATTTATTGACGAACTCCAATAAGTAGTAAATACATCATATTATAGTTGATGATTACATAGTTCTCGTGATAAGTTTGAAATCAATATGACAAGTTACAAACAACTCTGCATGCATATAAGCAAATTACAATCTACTCCGCTAGTAGGTTCCTATAATCAACTTGAACCATAATGTTCTTATAAGCCGCTTACAAGTAGTTTCTTACAATGATCTTACAAATAGCTTCTTTCAAGCGATTTTTAATGAGGCAGCAAACAATGCATGTTACTACACTTTTTCTTTCACTATAATTTTTCTTTAACATGGAAATAAAGGGGGAGTGTTGTAAAACATGATATCCATATGTTTTTCCTTTGTGCCTAAGATATGGTTGTATGGGACCTACATATTGTTTGAGCCAGTGTTTTTTTGCTTATAAATAGCCCTTTATTGTGGTGGAAAAGATGTGAATAAAAGGTTAAATAAAAATATATCTCCCTCCCCTCTCTTCTTGCGTAGATTATTCTTGCACTATTTAATTATATTTATATCATAGTCTTTATTTTATAACAATTACATGTTTATATGAAAGTGCTAAAACTGATGATAAGTTGATGTATTTAATAAATAGTTGTTTAAAAGCCTTATGTTGGGTTTGAACAACTAGAGAAAGTAAATTACAAAAATTATTTCACGCCATTGCCGTTTGATAAAGTTTCATGACCGCTTGGCCATTTTTTAAAGAAAATTTAGGCCTTTTATTAAATACATCAACTTATCATCAGTTTTAGCACTTTCATATAAACATGTAATTGTTATAAAATAAAGACTATGATATAGATAAAGTTTCATGACCGCTTGGCCATTTTTTAAAGAAAATTTAGGCCTTTTATTGATGTGAGAAAGAGGCTTAAACAAAAAAAAACTCATTCGGGTCTAGTGCCCAAATCTACTTGCTACACAAAAGAGATTGGGCCGCCCAAAATGGAAAAACCCCATCTCTATATAAAACAAAAGCAAAAAGCTATCTTCCTTAGGCATTTTCCTATGTACTAGGGTTTCCTATTCTCTGCTGCTTTTCTTCATCACTCCAAAACACCTACCACACCTTAAAATGTTTGTCCTTTGGTAGAACAAGACCTTCCATCTCGGTATGATGTGGCTAATCGGTGTTATTAAGCTCTTCCTTGTGCTCCTTTGTTTCTCAGCTATGAACAATAAGTATAAATCTTCAATTATGATTTGCATTTCTCCCTGTTCATTGATTCTGACCCATGGATGGCCATTTTATTATTAGCACAAAGGTTTAGATATATCTACATAATGAAAATGTCTTATTTTATAATTTTTTAAGAAAAAACTAAGAAACCCTAATTTAAAATTTGAGAAAGGAGATTCATTTCTTAAGCTTCAATCATCTCCTTTATAACCTCCATTGTGCAATTATAGATCCAATGTGTAGTATGTAGATCATCGTCTTCCCTTAACTATCTATTTCTCATATGCTTTGGAATTCACCATTTCCACTGTTGAGTGCTATGTTTTCTAGATAATCAACAATTTTATTATCTTCTCTTAAAATGTGATCTCTTAGCATGATACTTTGTATCTTCTTTAAAGAAAATTCCAATAGAACTTTTGTTAATATAATCTTAAGAGTGTAACTCTCTAGATATGTCTGGTGTCCTTATTCTGAGAAACAAATGGATGTTATCTATCACTTTGTATATGATTCTTTTTAGAGAGAACTAAGATAAAGTCTTTTGGATTCACATTTATTTTTAATTTTTCATAATATCATACATGGGATAGCTTTGATATATGTATTCAGACATAACTACTGCATTCCACCATATGAGAATCACATCTCTTACGTATAATTCCTTCATCTAATATCTCGGAAAAAAAGAAGAAGAAGAGAGAACTAGAACCAAGTCTTTTTACTTGAATAAGAGTGTAGGAATATGAATACCATTTTTTCCTATTTTTGTTATGTGCAACACCAACACATACATTATAAGGCAATACCACTTTCGAACCCTTTTTCTAATTAAAGATATCTTGTGCTCAACCAAATATTAGTTTAAACCTCTTTATCTCTGTCATGTAGCATCCAAGTTACAATCATTGTATTCTCCTCCTTGTTGTATTTGTGTAATCAGGGGTATCGAAACACGAGAACGGTGAAGTGGTTCAGTGACCAAAAGTGTTTCAGTTTCATTAGTCCTAATGATGATGATTTAGTGACCAAAAGGGTTTCAGTTTCATTACTCATTAGACCTGAAGGTTTTCGTACCTTAGTTGATGGTGGAGCTATTGAATTCGATGTGGAACCAGGGGATGCTGGCTGTACTAAGGTGATCAATGATATCGACCCAGATGGTGCTCCTATCAAAGGAGGATCCCGTGATGATAGAGGTGGTGGAGGTGATCAATATGGTGGTGGCGGTTGATATATATGTTGAGGTTGGAGATATGGTGCTGATGAAGGTGGTTACGACAGTGGCAGGCGGTTGGCGGTGATGTTGTATATGGCGGTGGTGGTGGGAAATGGGGTGGAGGTGACGGTGGGTATGGTGGCAGTGGTTGAGGAGGAAGTTGGTGTTACAACTGTGGGGAAGATGGTAATTTCACAATGGAATGTAGCCAAGGTTTTCGAAAGATGGCCATATCCACCACCTTCGCTACATTCCCTTGCAAAATGACCATCTTCCCCACATTTGTAACACCAACTTCCTCAACCACCACCACCAACAAACACACCTCCACCTCCACCATACTTCACACCACCACCGCCATATCCACCATCACCTCCATACCACGTGCTACTACCGTAACTACCTTCTTCACCACCATATCTCCCACCTCCATATCCATATCAGACACCACCACCATAGTGACCGCCTCCACCATCATGGGATCCTCCTTTGACAGGAGCACCATCTGGGTCGGTAACATTGACAACCTTAGTACGACTGTAATTCCCATATTCCACGTCAAATTCAACAACTAAACCATAAGCTAAAATACGAAAGCCTTCACATCTAATACCAGATTGATGAACGAAATTTTATCACTCTATCATCATGAGTAACTAAACCAAAACCCTTTTGGTCATTGAGCCACTACACCGTTTCCTTGTTCCTATTCCCCTGATTATATCAACTTACAGAAGAGTTGATTTTATGTAAATTCACTTTTACTTTAAATAATATAAACAAACATGATCGAAAAGCACATGTCCAACTACAACAAAAAAGATATCTAACACATAGACTTCATTTTTATTTTTATTTTGTAGTAATAAAAGTTAACTATATGATTTAAAGGAAAAAAAATAATAAAACATGTTTATAAAATTAATTAAGCAAGATAGTATGAGAAAAACTAATAAGTTGAAAGATATAGATTTATACCGCTGCATAGGGGAATATGCATGCTTTTACTTAATTTATATTAAACTTCATAATTTTTTTCTAATAGAAGTCTCACGATATGATTAATTTGAATTAAAATCAAATTCATGACTGATAGATGAAAAATTTAATTCAGCAGCAAAATTTATAGTTGGATTCAAAATATTAGGTAAAGCTAAATATACATTTTTATCCAAAATGTTTTATCTCTTTGAACAAATAATTTAGCTTTTAAGGGTATAAATGTCAATAAATATTATATAAATATTTTTGTCTATAAACATTTAACATTTTGAAACTTATGAGTTCATAGAATACTGATTTCTATACACGTACATTGTATAATAATACCATGTGAATTATATTAAATAGGTGCATAAAAAAGGAATTTGTGCGAATGCAATAGATAATGAAAGACAAGTGTTTTCAATCAATATATATTTTTAAATCATAAGAAAGGATAATTATGATGTAACCTAAAGAAGATGTGTCAATTAACAAAATATTTAATTATAGAAAGTATTGATATGAAAATCCTTGCCAACTTAGTTTTATAGAAAGTTACCTCAAAACTTTAACATAAAAACCAGTTTTTTTTAAATAGTTTATAACGAGAATCATTTTTACCATTGTGATTTTTAAAGTGAGTTATTCTTAAGGATGACTATCCGTATGTCCAGTGGGCTCAAACCATGAGTCATACTATTACTTCTTGGATCAAGAGATGCAAGGCAAACAAAATCGGTTTCAGAAATAAAGTGTTTGAACTGCTCAATTTTCTTACTACAAAAAAAAAAACACATACTTCCATTTATAGCTTACATTTAACTTCTTAAGCAAAAATAAAGCAACTAACTAATAATGGAAAAACATTGGAAAAGTGGTAATCATGACTCACTACAATAAGAAGATAATTCATTGACTAGGTAAAAACTTAAACCAACTAATCCTAATAACAACACTCACAAACTGATTTTTTGGAACTTAATTAATTTGATGAATTAGTCAACACAACTCCTTTCTTCAAAATCACAAACTCTCATTTGTTGTCTGAAGAAGTCATGCTTGTGGTGAAGAAGGGATTTTGTAAGAATATCATCAACCTGATCATTTTTACCACAAAATTTCAATGAGATTATTCCACCAAAAACTGGCTCTCGAATGAATTGATAATAAATGTCGATGTGCTTCGTCCTATTGCGAAAAGAAGGATTTTTTGTCATAGAAATTGTCACCTTGTTGCCACACAATATTTCAGTTGGGCCAATCTTCTCTTGTTGAAGATCCACTAACAATTTCTTTAACTAGATAGCTTGACAACTTGCTAAAGTTGCTGCCATGTATTCTCCTTACAGAGATGATAATCCCACTCTATCTTGTTTCTTTGAACTTCATGAGTTTCCTCCAAAAAAAGACTAAACATATTCCAATTGTTCTCCTGCGATTTTCCACGCTACCTTCCCAATCACTATCAGAAAAACTAAGTAATCGGCAATCTGATACTTTTGATTACCATATGTTAAAAATATCTACCTCTGCAAACAGCCATATGCATGATTTTGCTTAATTTATATTAAATATCGTAGCAATTTTAAAGTAGAAGTCTCACCATATGATCAATTTGAATTAGTATCAAATTCATGTATGATAGATGAAGAATTTAATTCAATATGAAATTTTTTAGTTAGATTCAAATTATTGATTAACTCAATGATCCTATACTAGAATCCAGTTATAAATGCTACAAGGAAAAGTCTTGAAAGGACATACTTTACGGCATGCCCGAAACATGATATATAGATAAATCGATTCAAAAAATTAAAATTCTTGAACAAGTAGAAGATGCGGAGAAAATTACTACGATGGTCATAATAATGAGACAACTGCCGTAGAAAGAGCACCACAAAATAATAGTTCATAAGATCTTGGAAAAGGTTTAGGTACCTGAAAATGATGAAAAAAAAAGAGAAATCGTGTAACGACCTGTTCCCGTCGTTATAGAAATGCGAATGGGGGAAAATTTGGGGCTAGAAAACTTATTCGTAGTATTTGGATTTTCTCAACCTAGTCCAGATTTGGACGAAATTGGATTCTTTGAGGTGTAGGGAATTCTGGTAACAATCAGGTGAGTTGTTTTTTATTTTGATTACATGAGTAGTTAGATAACTCGTTAACGAACCCGTACGACTTTACGAAATTGAATTCGGGCGAGTAAAACTCCCATAATCGATCTTAGCATAAAGGGTACTTTCTGATCGTCATGGGTTAGAGGTGTGCTGTGATATCAGATTTTGGAATTCTTTTAAATAGCTCACTGGTTCGTAAATGACGCTTTGGTACTAGATTTTACCGGTCTGGTGAGGCCGCTATAGCGGGGTGGGTGTCGTTGTGGCGGAGCCGATGCGACTTAAAGTCGTTAATAAACCCTTAAACGACCTTATTTAGCACTTTTCAATTTTTAGAGCTACGGAACGAACCCCAGGCGACTCCTACTCATTTCGATCAGTAGAACGTAATAGAATGGGTGAATATTTATGGGGGAGGGCTTTGTTATAGATTATATGGGATTATATGGTGGAAACAACCCTAATTTGGATAATTGGGATCATGGGTTTGATCTAGGGTTCATAAAATTGTTATAGTTTTGGGTAATTAGCGATTGTTTATTGATTCTCGTGTTATTATGATTGTTTGTAGACCAAGAACAAGCAGAACGAATCCGGAAAGGGAAAGATCAAGTTTCTTAGGATTTCTAGCTTGTTTCGAGGTAGGTGATGGTTGTGATTCTATGGTTGTGTGATGTATGCTTGTTCTTGCTTCATTATGATACTTGTAGGTATATGAATGTTGTAATGTTGATCAGATAATATACCTGTGATTGTGATTGTGGTGTGTTGTATGGATCGATTGCGACTTTCCGACCTAACGAACTTGGATCGGTTGCCACATTCCAACATAATTATGGGGTCGTCTACCACGTTCCGGCTTAACTATAGGATCGGGTAACACGTTCCAATATGCTAACTGTTTGAGTTTGGGATCCATGAGAGGATTAATGATGTGATATAAAATGTGAAGTTGTTCGTTTTTCGTAAATATTGATGATATTGTATATGTTGATATATATGCATGTGATTATAATGTTATCTTGACTTTTTTATGCTGCCCTAGTGGGATAGCTGCGTGATACTACCAGTAAACTATGGTTGTGTACTGATTATGCACTTGCTTTGATTTTTGTTCAGTACACGGCATCTTCAAGCGGCTATTGACAAACCTCTCTTAGAAAAGTTGTGATCGTCGCTTCGAATTCAAGGGTAAGCCAATTCTTCTAGGCTTCCATGAAATTCTCTTTCATCTATGTTTACCATTTTCGGACATAGACATCTGTTTAGTTAGTTCATTAGTTTGGGGGTTGTATCCCTTCTTGTTTAGACTTTTTGAACTTTAGATGTTTTGGTACATTGACTTTCAAGTTCTAGATTATTCTTCTACATTATTAGTTTATTTTTTTAGACTTTGTTAGAGTTTATGGGAACTCTATGTTCTAGACTTAGTATTTAACTTAAATGTCTTAGTTTATACTTTAGTTGCTTGGTTTGGGTTGTAGTAGTGGTTCTCCCACCTGAGGGTTAGTGTGGGTGCCAATCACGATGGTCTGGGTCGTGAAAAATTTGATATCAGAGCCTAGGTTCGTTAATCTCGATGTACCGAAACGAGTCTAATAGAATCGTCGAACGGTACGGGGACACCTTTACTTTTCTTAAAGAGGCTATAGGACTTTAGGAAATCTTTTTATTTTCTCTTGTCTCCTTTTGTGTTATAACTTGATTCAAATTTGTATTTGTCGATTCAAATTGATTTCTAACCTCCTTCATTCTTCTGTCTGTAGATGGTTAATACTAGTTATAACTGTGTTAGGCCCGTAGCTCCCGTCAATGCTCCAGCTGAGGAATCTACAATGAGAGTTCACGGTCGAGGCAGGGGTAGAGGAAGAGCTAGGGGTAGAGGCCGTGCAAAGGTGGCGCCTGCTAGAG